CTAATCTTCCTGCACCCCCCAGGCTGGCTGCATCCCCCGAATCTCCAGCATCTCCCACCCCAAAATTGCCCCGTAATCCAAAATGTGCTGCACCCCCGGAGCTGCTGCACCCCCCCACATCTGTCTGTACCCCCCAAGCTGTCTGCACCCCCTGATCTCCGTGCAGCCCCCCACGACTGCGTGTACCCCCAAATTTGCCCGCACCCCCCCGGGTGCGTGTGCACGGAACACGCGTGTTTGCTCAGGGGTGATGTTGGCACAGGTGCTCACTCGCACATACGTGTGGACACGGGTTCGTGCACACTCCAGTGACTCGCCTGGCCACGCAAATTCACAGACAAACTCACACGCGTGTCTGTGCACACTCGTGTGCGTGCAGGGCTGGGGGCTGTGGCTGAGGTCGGGTTGAACTGCCCGGGGCAGGTGAAAGCGCGTTCTCAGCCAGGTAASGAGCGCCGAGGGATTTCCCGAGGTTTCCAAGCCCTGGGAACAACCGCGGCAAGGGCAGGTTGTGCCGCGGGGGCCGGTTCTGGGCGAGAAAAGCAAGAAATGGCGTTTCTGGTTCAGCGGCAGCTCTGGAATGGAAGGAGAGAGGTTTCTGCTCCGGTTTGGGGTGAAAAGGCCCCAGCAGAGCCCCCGCCGCCCCCCTCCTCCTGGCCACATCCCCCCCGCGCCCCCGGAACCTCCAGCTCGGGCCGGTGAGCCAAGTCCCGGCTTGCCGCATCCCTAATCCCCCGAAGAACAGGATTTCTCACCAAGCGCTGACATAACCTCACCTACAGCAGCGCCGAGGCCGTGCCAGAGGGGACAGGGACAGGGACAAGCAGAGCTGCGGGGGCTCGGGGAAGGAGTGCTGGTGAGGGGTCACCCCAACCCCTTCACCCCATGGGGGGCAGGAGCTGCATCCCCCCCATCCCGGAGTCACAGGAAGGGCGGTGCTGTGGGTTTGCTTCAAATCTGGTGAAAATGGCAAAAAAAAACCAACAAAACAAAAAAAAAAACCAAAAAAACCCAACAGAAACAAAAAAAACTCCATTCCGGGAGAAGTGGGTGGAGGGGGCTGGGGTGGGATCTGCCTGCAAATCCCCCGGGGCACCCCCGTCCCTCTCATCCCGTGGTGGGCACCGTGACCCAGTGAAGTTAYGAACGCCAGCACCGGCTGCCCCACATCTGGAAGGGATTCTGTCGGGAAGGGCGGATAAAGCCTTCGCACCCCACCCTCCTCTCCCTCCCATGCCGGTGAAGCCTGGGGTGGGCAGGCGAACCGCTGGCCCTAAATAACCCCCCGTAGGGCCGGTCACCCCTCGGAAAAGCGCAGATTCTCTGCGAGGCGGGTGGGGAGCCGCGTCTCAGCAGCGGGGCAGCGGCAGCTGGCTGAGGCTGTGGAAACATCCGACACCATCCACCGCCCGCACCCYCCTTCCCGGCAAAAATCCTCACAAACCGCAGAAATCCTGAGCGCAAACCGTGGGGGGCTCCCCCAGCCCAGGCACGGCTCCCTCGCTGCCCCCCCTGGAGCATCCCCAAATGCTGTCAGCGCCCCACAGACCCTCCTGGCATGATGTGGCTTTTTGGGGATGTTCCCCCCCTCCCCGGGAGGGGATATCGGGTACCCTCACCCCACACAGAAGCCAAAGCTTCTGGGGGGCTTTTTCCCAATTTCCCCAACCTCTCAGTGCGTTGGGAGAGCGGATGGGGGGCTCCAGTGTGGGGGTGAAGCCTGAGCCAGGGCAGGTCACCCGCCGTCTCCGCCTCATGTCCCCACAAATCCTCCGCAGCTGGCGGGACGCAGCCCCCACCCCACCCCCCGCCCCTGGCCACGGCCACGGCCGCTGCGGAAATGAAACACAGCTGGACGGCGCGACCGAGTCCGGCCCCGGCCCCGTGGCCGCGGGGACCCCCGGCTGTGGGGCGGGCGGGAGCCCACGCGTCCCGAGACCTCTGCTGTGTCACCACAGCGGGACCCTGCCCCGGCCCAGGACCCCGGCCCAGCCCTGCGACCCCGACCCTTCCTCAGCCCCGGGACCCTGCCCTAATTCCGGACCCTGATACAGCCCCCGCCCCTGTCCTGCGATCTTTCCTCAGTACCGGGACTCTGCCCCAGCCCCGGGACCCCTCCTCAGCTCCAAGACCCCTCCTCAGCCCTGTCCTGCGACCCTTCCTCAGCCCCGAGACCCTTCCTCAGCCCCAAGACCCCTCCTCAGCCCCAGGACCCTGCCTCAGCCCCGGGACCCTTCCTCAGCTCCGGGACCCTTCCTCAGCTCCGGGACCCTTCCTCAGTTCCGGGACCCTTCCTCAGCCCCGGGACCCTTCCTCAGCTCCGGGACCCTGCCCTAATTCCGGACCCTGATCTAGCCCCCGCCCCTGTCCTGCGACCTCTCCTCAGTCCTGGGACTCTGCCCCAGCCCCGGGACCCCTCCTCACCCCCGTCCTGCGACCCTTTCTCAGCCCCGAGACCCTTTCTCAGCTCCAGGACCCTGCCCTAATTCCGGACCCTGATCCAGCCCCCTCCCCTGTCTTGCGACCTTTCCTCAGTGCCGGGATTACGCCTCAGTTCTGGAACCCTTCCTCGGCCCCAGGACCCCTCCTCAGCCCCGGGATCCTTTTTCAGCTCCAGGACCCTGCCCTAATTCCGGACCCCGATACAGCCCGTCCTGAGACCTTTCCTCAGTGCCTGGATTATGCCTCAGTCCTGGGATTCTGACCCAGCCCCAAGACCCTTCCTCAGCCCTAAGACCCTTCATCAGCCCCGGCCCGTTCCGCAGCCTCATCTGGAGAGACCCCAGGGTGAAATTGAAACGAAGCCCCCCGGACCCCGACCCGCACCCAGCACCCGCCGAGGGCTGGGGCCCGGCCGGCTGCTTCTCATTTCCAGGGCCATAAACCCCTTTAACGACCGGCCATTTATAACCGCTGTAAAGCCCCTAATCACCGCCAAACCCAGCCCAGACACAAAGGCTCCCGCCTGCTCCTCCGTCCTCCCACCTTCCTTTGGATTTTGGGGCTCTGACAGTTTTCCCACCCCCACCCGGGCCGTAGGGACGGGTGTGCAAGGCAGGAGCGGGAGGGAAGAGCCCCCCCAAAATTCCGCAAGCTCCCAGCCCGTGGGATGCTCAGGCGCCCTCTCCCCAGCSCTGCAGGGAACCCAGACCCGCGTGTTTAACCCCAAATAAAGGGGGAAGCCCCCTCCCACTGACGAATTGTGCCCCCCAAAACCCCCCCTCGGGCTGTGCAGCCCYGAGCCAAGCGCAGCCACGTAAACACGAGGAAAAGCTGGAAAAAGTGACGCACGTCGGGGGCTCGGGGCCGCGTCCAGCCCGGTGCGGGCGGGGGGTTCCCCCAAGGCGGCTGCGGGCTCGGCACCGGCCCCGGCACCGCTCCCGGAGCTGCGGCAGCCCCTCGGTTACAGCCACACCGGGGATCTGCCGGTGGTTCGGGCAGAAAAGGGGGTGCGGGGTGCTCCCCAGAGCCGGGGAAGGAGCCAGCTSGTCCCTGGAGGGAAGAGGAAGGAGAGGAAGAACCCGCGGGACACAGATGTCGGTGGGTGCCGAGTGATGGCAGCGCCCCGGAGTCCTCGGCCCGGTGAGCGACCCCTGCTCCAGCCCACCGGCCCCACCGAAGGGAAGAGCTCGTTAATCATTTCTTTTTAATTAGGATTCTGCACATAAACCTTTCAGTTCAAAGCAGTTTCTGTCGGGCTCGGGCGCCTCCATGGCATGGCCGTTTCCAGGGGTGTCCCCGGGCCAGCACGGGGGGGACTCGCCCGGGGGTGTTGGGGTCGTCCCCGGGGCAGCACGGGGGGCTCGGGCAGGCAGAGAATGTGGAGGGCAATGCTGCTCCCCGTTCTGGGGTTTGTCCCACCCCTTACACAATAAAAAAGGTGGAATTTAACCAGCAGCTCCATAGCAGAGCAGGTACTTTGTGGTGGGATCTGAATCCCACCGCTCCCACAGCGTGTCCCGGGCACAGYGGCAGCTCTGGGTGCTGACAGAGGTAGTTTTAGGAAAAGGAAGGAGCCTGCTCCATCCCCAACACCCCAGTGATGGGGGCGGTGCACAGAACACCCCAAGAATGGGACCAGCGGCWGCCCCAAAGCGTTCAGGGGGCTCTAAAGATCCCTTTTGGGAAAGGCACCGGCCCAAAGCATTCAGGGGGCTCCAGAGATCCCTCTTGGGGAAAGCACCACCCCAAAGCGTTCCGGGGGCTCCAGAGACCCCTCCTGGGGAAGGCACCGGCCCAAAGCGTTCAGTGGGCTCCAGAGACCCCTCTTGGGGAAAGCACCAGCCCAAAGTGTTCAGGGGGCTCCAGAGACCCCTCCTGGGGAAAGCACCGGCCCAAAGTGTTCAGGGGGCTCCAGAGACCCCTCTTGGGGGAGGCACCAGCCCAAAGTGTTCAGGGGGTCCCAGAGACCCCTCTTGGGGAAAGCACCGGCCCAAAGCGTTCAGGGGCCTCCAGAGACCCCTCTTGGGGAAAGCATCAGCCCAAAGCATTCAGGGGGCTCCAGAGACCCCTCTTGGGGAAGGCACCGGCCCAAAGCGTTCAGGGGGCTCCAGAGACCCCTTCCCTGCTGGAGCCTTGGGGAAGGCACCAGCCCAGGCTCTCCCCCAGCATCCTGGGGAAGAACAGCAGCTGCACAAGGCACGTCGGGCTCAGGAGGGTGCGGCTCCTCCTCATCCACGGAAGGCACARCCCCTCCTTCGGCACTCACAGACCCCTGAAGGGCCGGGCCACGCTCGGATCATCACTCCGGGTCCCCCCCAGAGGCAGAACCGGGCCGGAGCCATCGCTGAGAGTCCCCCAGAGGCAGCACCGAGCTGGGGGTGTCACTCTGAGCCCCCAGGGATGTCACTCCTGCTCCGGGTTCTGCCGCAGGTGCTGCTCCCACTCCTCCTCCACCACTTTGTAGAGCTCCATGGTGGCTCGGGCGTCCTCCACGGAGGAGTGGCCACTTTTCCCTACCTGTGGGGACAGACACAGAGTGACCACAGCTTCCATTTTGGGGTGGCAGCCAGAATTAGAGGGGGAGGACACACCCCGATAGAGATTAGGGGGTGCAGGCAGCACTGGGAGTGCAGGCAGCTGTGGGGCAACACACGCAGCATTGAGGGGGGTGATTAACAGAAATTGGGGTGTGCAGGAAAAATTAATGGGGTGCAGGTGGATTGGGTGGG